CTTATTACTATAAAGGTTTTTTTCGGGAGTATATCCAGAATCCTAGTTTGTATTGCTAATATCTGGGCCTATTGGTTGTGTAAGGGAAAAGAACATAAGGAAAGGACGTGCAAGATCTTAGGTTGAAACCCACTAAGGTTGACAGGTAAGTCGATTCTACAATGACCAATTCCGTAAGAATAACTCGGAGCCTAGACGAAGACCTTCTTTGTCTTCACGTAGGAAACAAAGATACCCCAACATCGATTTAACATACTAAGAATGTTCTTTCCCTCTATCTGGTCGATTGCTACTTTTCTCCCTGGCTTCTCTTTTGACACACGTCTCCATATAATATACTTATTGTGACAAAGTAAAAACGTAGATGAAGGAAATTTCTCAATGCTTGCTTCCAAACCAATATAAGATAACACAACCATGCCATGTATTTAATCTATATAATCAGTTAAAGCCAAATAAACTGAAAATCGTGAACAAGAAAAATAATTTAATCCTATAAACGGGGGATAGTTTACAGTAAACTGGTGACATTTCAGAAATATCAGCGAGAGATATCCTCCAACCTCGTAATGATTATATTTCTCACTGTTTCATGAACAGATATTTGATTGCTTCTTTCCCCTGGAAATGTGTTTATAAAGCTCCAAGATCGTCTGAATGTTCTTCGACACACAAATGCTCGATATCGAAGTCGATATTGCGCCGACGCCTTGGACACCCCAGTTTCCGAGGTTCCAGTAAATGGTTCTTGAGCATTTCCCCTGCAGGTGAAGTTATTTATTGCCTCATTATGATTCCCATAGTATCGTATTGGAAAGACAGTCGAATGCATTGCTCTAAATTGATATAGCGAACGAATAACAGTGTAAAATACAGTAATTGACCTTGTAAGAGATGCTAAGCAAAAATATTTACTTAAACTTCAAAATTCCCTTATTGACAAATCTAGTCCTCCAGGTAAGTGGTGGCGGGTTGCAAAGTCTATTTTGAACATTAACAATAAATCAAACAATGATGCTCCTCTTGTAATAAATGGTGAACTTAAATCACATCCTGTGGATAAAGCAGAACCTTTTAACTCATATTTTACCTCTGTCTCTACTTCTGACAAAACTGACCTTGACATTCCTCCTAATTGTCCTATCTCACAAGAAAAAATATCTTCCATTATTATCACTGAACAGGATGTTCATGATCAGCTTCAACGTATTCATGTAGAAAAATCTGCTGGTCCAGATGCACTACCCCCTTATTTTATTTCATTTCAACAAATTTTATTTCATTTAGAAAAGGATTGAACATAAGGCACAGCCTATATTAGTTCTCTCCTAAAGGTAACAATGAGTATATAAATATATATATATATATATATATAATAAAAAGTGATTAAATGTCCATGTGAAGGAAGTAAATAGAGAAAAAATAAAATTAACGACCGACTAAAAAACTAGCTGCTTTCACCCTTCACAGGGCTAATTTTCATATATATAATTAACCATCACGTTAATCTATGTAATCTATGTATGGATCCATAGATCTTGGAGCTTTATAAACACATTTCCAGGGGAAAGAAGCAATCAAATATCTGTTCATGAAACATTTTAAACGTTAAAAATATGCCTATGTGAATGACATCACATAGGCCATATATGATAGATGATAGGGAAAACCTGAAAAGCCCTGTGAAGGGTGAAAGCAGCTAGTTTTTTAGTCGGTCGTTAATTTTATTTTTTCTATATATATATATATATATATATATCTTATATGGTATGCTGTTATTTTGAAATAAACATGAAATAATATGTGGAAATCTATTCGTAGCTATTTTATTAAAGGTATTGCTGACTCTCTTGTGAAGCCCTTGCTATACATTTTTAACAAATCCATATCTACTGGTAGCATACCTAATATTTGGAAGTGTGCTAATGTTACCCCAATATATAAGGGCAAGGGAGGAAGAGGTGACCCCAGTAACTATAGACCAATCTCTGTCACATCATTATTTAGTAAACTTCTTGGAAATATAGTTTTTAAACATCTCTTTAATTTTCTATCTGAGAATAATGTTATCTAGAAAAATCAGTCTGGCTTCCTTCCCAAAGACTCCACAGTTAACCAATTAATATATTTATATGATGAAGCTTCAAAACAACTTGATCAAGGAAAAGAGGCAATGATACTATTTTGTGACATCGGCAAAGCTTTTGAGAGGGTTTGGCACAGTGGATTGATTTACAAATTGAAGAAATATGGAATTTGTGGCGACGTCTTGAACTGGATTAAAGGGTATTAATAGATGGTTACAAGTCAATTTTACAAACATTAAAAGCTGGTGTACCCCAAGGTTCGGTTATTGGGCCTTATTTATTTTTAATATTTATTAATGACCTTGAAGATGAACTCCACTCCCATGTCAAACTCTTTGCTGATGACACTTCTCTTTACGCTTTGATAGATGGTAATGGCAGAGATACTGCAGATATTCTTAATGAGGATCTCAGGAGAATGTCTCTCTGGGCAGATAAATGGGGAATAACATTTAATCCAAGTAAAACTGAATCATTACTAATGTATACTAAAAATAATTCTGAGACATCTCATCCAGATTTGGTATTTTCAAATAGTGTTGTTATAAATGTCAAAAATCATAAACATCTTGGTTTGTTTTTTAATAGTCGTGGATCATGGTCAGATCAAGTTAATTATATATATGAAAACAGCTGTACAAAACTACAAATAATGCGAATGCTTAAACACAAGCTAGATAGAAAATCTCTTGAAATAATTTATAAATCTTTTATAAGACCAACACTAGAATCTGCTTGTGCTGTGTGGAATAATTGCACCGAGGGTGAAAGTGATTTACTGGAATCGGTCTAATTAGAATGTCTCAGAATTATATCAGGGTTGAGAAGAGGTACAAGTCATAACTTAATATATAAGGAAGTTGGTCTAGATAAACTAAAAATAAGGCGTGATGATTATCAATGTATGTTATTTTTCAAGATACTGCAGCATGACTGTCCTGACTATCTTTATGATCGTATTTAACCATATTTTAATAATGATTTTAATCCTCGCCTAAGACATTAAAGGAATGTTATTGTTCCCTTGTGCAGAACCAACCTGTATAAAACAGCTTTTTTCCTAGAATGATGTCTCTATGGAATAGGCCAGACTGTACTTTCCCAAAACTCACTTCATTGAGCCAGTTAAAACTGGAATTACTTAAAGACAGCACACACATTTTGCAACCATCTAACTGTACAGATATTTTTAAATACAGTGGTTCCAGGAAGTTGAATATAGCAGTATGTCAACTTCGAAATAAAGTCAACCATTTAAAATCAGATTTATATGATGATCATCTTAAAGAAAACCATAATTGTGACTGTGGTTATATCATTGAAGATGCAAATCACTTCTTCCTCAATTGCCACACATATATAGATAAAAGACAAGTTTTATTCTATGCATTATCTAACTATAACGAAATTAATGACATCATCTTAAATACTATTACTTTCACTAAGGGTGATATGAACCTAAGCAGTGAATTAAATAAATTTATTCTCTCATGTGTTCTGGAGTATATTGAAAAATCTGGAAAATTTTAACTTAAACTATACTAAAAATTATCTTACAATGTGTTTGTATTTGCTATTTTATAACAATAACTCTGGTGTAATTGGGATTCATATCAAACCAGGTTTTTTTCTGAAACCCTTGGTAGAGCAATTGTTTCATGTTTCATGTGATGAATGACTCGCGCTTCATTTCGCTCCGGATTAAATATAGTAAAATTGGATCTATTATTAACAGAGGACGTTATTTTAACGCATTCTGTGTTTCCTACAATTTCAAATGAAAGATATTTAGGTGATTGTTTTTGATATGTCAAAATGAAAACCAATTTTTTCTCAGGTATTTCAATTACATTCGCTGAAATGAGTTATTGGGTGATATCCAATTACATCAGAAAAACTGAAACTCTCTATACGGTTACATCACGCAATTTTTTAAACCAGATAAAATAAATTATAGATATTTTATAACAGTGATGAGAGCATGTCAAAACAGGAATGTTGGAGAAACCAAAGTCGCCAATATGAAGCTGAATGATTGATTAAACATTTCAATTAATTTAACTCATCATGTTTAATACGCTTTTTAATCATATCCTATGATGACGTTTTGTATTTTAAAACAGTTATTTAGAGACCATATACTTTATCTTATAACTTATCGTTCGTTTGCTCAGTAATACCTTTATGTATACGTGATCGTTTTTGTAGTTGTGCTATTTTCACGTTTTTCACGAGAAAGATGAATCCATGTTTCAACAAGAATGTCGACTTTGGTAGCCCAGTCACAAACAAATCATTAGGATCTTAAAACCGCAAATACAACACTATTTTAATTAGGTTGTACCCTGGTGAAACGAGGTTATACCAATTAATCCCAAATACAACTGGAAGCACAGCCATGTTCTGCTCCAGGACCAGACAAAGATGCGTGCGATTAATTACATGCACCAATGTACATTTTAAATCATCAACGACCAGTGTCAAAATGGAAAATTATTTAATTATTCATTCATAGCTAACACTGCAATTGTTTAGTTCGAAATTATGTAATTGAATACTTTTATTATAAAAAAAATCATTTAAGCACTGTTTTTAAAAACACGTCTTGCATATGAATATGAATCGAATTAAAATGAACAAAAAATCGAAAGATGGACTGGATCAAAATATAAATACATGGATATGTATATTTTGTTTAGTCCATTTGTACTACGCCATTCAATATGTCGCTTAAATTATTGGCAGTAATGATGATCATTATGTTTATACACTTATATATTTCTGAAAGAATAAAATAACATTTAAAAAAATTTCCAAGATATCAGCCAATCAGGTTATCTGTAATTTCAGTTGCTCGTTGTCACATTGTAGGCTAACTTCAGTCACTAATCTCAATTTATCTCTTTTGCTTAGCAGACAATTTCAGATATGCATTTTGACGAGTTGCTCCAACGTATTGACGGTTTTGGACGCTACCAGAAGGTTCGTCTATTTCTGATATGTTTGGTGGGAATCCTATGTGCGTTTCATTCAATGAACATGGTTTTTGTTGGCGCAAAACCAGAATATGAATGCACAATCAACGACTCAAACAAATTGAACAAAATATTTACAAATGTCTCTTTGAAGAAATGGAAAGATTTTTTAAGGACGGGAGGGGAGGAATGTTCGCTGTATAGCCCTTCTCAGACTTACGAATCTTTGGTCAATGGAAACTTTAAACTTGAGGTATCAAACGTCACAGGGCCTTTCAATTTCACAACCGACCCATGCACACAGTGGGAGTACTCAGAGAAAGTATACGGACCAACCATCGTGTCTGAGGTAACTAGTTCACTGCACTCAGATCGTTACAGAACAAAAATGTTTAAAATGATGCTAGATAGTGTGCCATGTTGCTTCATCAACAATAATGCATAAACTTATAAAACAGCAAAACATTGTAAAAAATGTGTTGCAAAGCAAATATGAATTTGCAGCTACACAATATTGTGATTTTAATAGTTGAACATCGACATTATTCAAAGCATTGGTGTATTGAACAAATAGACAATAATAGGTGAAGCTTGCAGTATCAGAGGAGACGGGAACACATGTATAACTAAACTGAAATGTTTTGCTTTTGTTGTCCTAGTTTAACCTTGTATGCAGTCAAGCATGGTTAAGAAGCACATCAAAGACTCTCTACTTTTTAGGACGCCTTGTTGGGGCGGTAGTTTTTGGCCAATTTTCTGATATGTAAGTACATTGTGTATGTGTTTGTATAGCTTTTTGTCGAATCTATATACACACTTTTCGATTTTTTTGAAGACTTCGTGTATCGATTACATATTCAGATAAAAATATCAACAAAACGAATATAGCTAATCATTGCTAACGTTTTCAAGCCTTACGGCCATCTTAACGCAATTACTTTTAATTTCTAGGTAACAATATTATTATGTAGTATGAGTAAAAAAATTAATGGTAGTAATGACGTTATCAAACTAATAAGATAAATAACACCAAATAAGATTCATTTTTGCAAATTATTATATAAAGCAATTGGATTCAAACATTGACATTGTAATTTTAATTGCATTACAGATTTGGAAGGAAACCTATGTTCTTCTGCGGTCTAGTATTACTGCTTATATCCGGGTGTGCGGCAGCCTTAGCACCATCTATGGTAGTGTTCATACCATTTTACATTCTACAGGGAGCAGCACAAACGGGCCTCTTTCTAGTAGCGTACACTATGTGTAAGTGTCTGCCATTATAATAATAATCCGCCAGTAAGAAAGAAAAAAATATGGTCTTTAGTTTATTTAAACTATTTAATTGATAATTAAATTAACATTTTAAATAATGTATGAAAATGGATAACAAAATTCAATGTAACATCCTAAAAAAACGACATGGAACCGAAGAAAATTGCTTTGCGATTATCACTGATTAACTTATTCAAATTTACTTTGCTCTAACACATGAAGGTTACGTACGTCTTTCGTTGTTATGATTATTTAATTAGTTTAAGATTAAACCTAATATAGCAAAATATTGTTTTGTTAGGTGTTAACATGTTTCTCTAGAATGTTACTGGACGTAGAAATAAAATAATAACGATCTAAAGTATTATTCAATTCACATGACGTTAACAGTGTATACCAAACGCTTATTTGTTTTTATCTTTGTATATGTTCATCAGGAACTTAGCGGAGGTTTACTTAATATATGTATTTATCAGATATAATAATGTATGTCCCATTGTTATATATCTCAATATACTTTGAAGGCACTGAGTTGGTGGCCCCTCGGTACCGTTTGCTGGCCGGTCAGACGATCTTGAGTTTCTACGCTGTCGGTTACATGCTTCTCTCCTTGCTGGCCTACTTCATCAGACACTGGCGCTATATCGAGATGGTTATCACGGTACCGGTGGTTCTGTTCGCCGCTTATTGGTGGTACTTGTCGTTTCAATACTACTTTGACGAATACGTATAAAAACGTTAATGCACGAGGCAAAAGTTTGTGTATTTACGAACCTATTTCAAAATAGAATGGTTGAACCAGACCTGCAAAATCTATTGTAGCATGTCTACTGGCCAAAACTAGTACTTCCTTTCGAGACCTTGTGAGAAGGTGTCGATGTCATATTTTTGACATACTCATGAAAAAAAGGTTCAAATAAAATAATAATAATAAAAGTAATATACAATATTTGATATAGCGCCCTTTCTAGATAACATAAGCCACTCTAAAGCGCTTTACAGTACTTATATTTAAGGAATGATTTTTATTTTTTCAACATTTATGAGGTCATAAATGTTGAAAAAATAAATATCATTCCTTATATTTACATTGACGAATCCTTTCAGTGGATCGATATAACAACGAATAAAACAGATAAACAGGGTTTGTTCCTGCTTATACACGGGGGCAACGCAGCGGCGAGAAAAGGGTTTTTTCGCGGGGAAATGTGACAATATCGTGAGAGATCTTAGCAACCGTCAACAACAATAACACAACAAAATGTAGTTCCATATTCAATGTTTATTTGTAGCACAGGACACGTGAATACGTGGATATTTCACCAAGCACAGTTAAATAATATTTTATGATGTAAGAATTAAGCATCTAGGTCGGTCGTTCCGAGTGAGTAGTTTTTGTAGTGTATTACTACGCAGTGTGATCAGGTTACTATCAGTTCCCACATGCTGAGATTATATGAACACCTGTGTTATGCATTTATGAATGTCATTTTTGTCAATGGGTCTAAGCATACAGAATGTAAATATATACAATTAATACAATTAGCACATACATTAATCGATACATTTTTTTAGGAATCCGCAGGAGCTGCCTTATCAGGCGCTAACTACTAGTCCTATGCCACCTGGCTAATATATCCCTATGTGTGTATGTCTGTGTGTATGCTGGAGATGTAATGTGTTCTGTTTGTAGAGGGATTGTGCTTCCAACGGTGCCACCTCACTTGAACACTATAGCACAGATACCGCAAAATCCACCCCCAGGCCATTATATACTCCACCTGGGTTGTTAGAGTTGTGTGGACAGTAGAAAAAAACTTTCTCTGAATATTCCATGCGTACAACGACTTTGGACATCGGGACCCGGCCGCTTGCGTTAACCACTCGACCAATCCACCAATAAATACTGGGATAGGTAGTTTGTTCAAGATCGATAGAAGCTGAAACTAAGAACCAGGTCTTTAGTCTGTTCAAAATAATTAATACTTTTTCATATTTGAAAAGAAAATGAATATAGTTTTCCGTTTGTGGTGAAAATTCGTTAATATCATAATTTCCGATTGACAAGGAGACAAATTGCTGAATATTAAAAAGGCTCAAGACTGTAATATTGAATTATTGTAATTAATCATATTTTAGCATTTTGTTTTTGTGTCTTAGAAAGAAAGTGTTATTCATAGATATTAGTGGACTCAGACATTGCTTCCTCTATATTCACAGGTGTATAATGGGAAATTCATTATATTTCTAAAACGTTAAATATTGTACGAGATGAAATAACATCCTGAGGGAAACTTTACAAGAAATCAACTATTGTTTGAGTAATGGTTTCGAGAAGTAAGAGTCAGTGCTTCCACCACATTTAGAATATACAGCCAATTCATCAACATTTATACGTATACGCATCTCCATGCAAGCGTCTGAATTCTAGAGTTGTAGCCTCAACTGGTAAGTCTCTCGATGAAACTAATATTCCTAAATCCAGAGAGTAGCTTTGTAGATGTTGTTGATTATGTAGTATGAGTTGTAAAACAGCTGGTTTAAAATAATGTGTAAAAGCTTGATTGTTTGCACCTGTACATCAATAAATAATTTGTAAGAGCTTGATTGTTTGCACCTGTACATCAATAAATAATGTGTAAAAGCTTGATTGTTTGCACCTATACATCTATAAATAATGACTCCAGTCACAAGTAAAATAAGGATTACACGTGGTAAAATAATAATCGAATTAGGGAACAACTGTCTGTTACCAGACTGTGACGTTGTCTAAGTCTGAGGATTCACTTTCAGTGTAATTTAAATGATATTGCAGGGTACGGATATTGAAGCAGTATTTCATTTGGCCTTGATTTGCATTTGTTTTCATAAATAATCGCAATGGTTAGTTTTATACCAGATTGTTCGTGGTGATAAACGAATTTTCTACATAGAGTATGCATTCATGTTCAGAATCGAAATGTCGGTGGTATCTTTATGGCTATTTGTGGTATCTTCTTGTTGTCGTTGTATCATGAACGAAAGGCACATGTAACTGTATTAACGTTTACCGCAAAGAACAATTCTATTGAGATTTAATACAATTTGTAGATTGGTTCCTACGGACAAATAAGACAAACAGTATAAGTGGTATTTGTTATTATCTTGTTGAACCTTTATCTTTTTGGCTTTGATATGATTAATTTTAGAAAATTACATGAATTTCGACCCCCATAACAAACAAATACAGGAAAAAAATATGTAAATGAAAAAAAGTGTTTTTTTAACTTTCAGCATTCTCCCAGAGTCTGTACGATGGCTTCTGTCGAAAAGTAGAATGAAAGAAGCTAATTCCATCATAAAGCATGTTGCGAGAATCAACAGTATGGAGGTGACTGATGCTATGCTGGAAAATATAACTGATCAGAAAGACCATCTGGAAGTAAGCGATGGCCGGAAGTACACCTTCGTGGATTTGTTCCGACCTTTACCGATGCTATTTCTGTCTATTAATGTATGGTTTAACTGGTATGTGATCGTATACAAGATCTTTATTGCTCTATCTCATTGTCTTCCCTCAAGAGAACAGCTTCCATAAAAGTCAAATTAATTCTATGATTAGACAATCATATTGCAAATTGTAGAATTCTAATTAAATGTACTTTTAATTATGAACTTTAATTGATATGAAAAATAAGAAGAATATCAATAAAAACAAAAACAAAAACAAAGCTGGAAATGTTCTTAAGATTGAACTGAGTCAGCATTATATCCTAAGTGAATAGCCTTCATCTATTCTTGAACAGGTTCGTCAATTCTTTTGTGTATTACGGTTTGTCGCTTGGCATCGGATCTATTGGAGGGAGCCCCTATGTTAACTTCATGATTGCAGGGGCTGTGGAGATCCCCGGCAATGTACTTTGCATCATGTTCCTTAATAGACTGGGGCGTCGACTGCCCCTAATGGGCGCAATGACAATGAGTGGAATAGCATGTGTCATTTCCGGTTTCATACCAAATGGTAAGTTAGTTTCTGTTATCAAGATGCGTTTAACACGGCAAACGAAAGTTAAACCAGGTATTCGAGAAGGGTAACTTTTTTTTTTGATTTATCGCGATACCCACCATGTTAATTTAAACCAAATCCAGGTACTATCACGTCCCCATATTGAAAGCCAAAAAACAGGAAATCAGGGAACAGAAATGATTATTCTAAAAAATGTTCAACCTCGCGCAGGTAATTTAATGTTTCTCAAGAAGATTACGACGACTTACCCATAGTTGTTATCAACCGGCATATCACGAAATCTTGTGTTATAAGGTTATCATCTACATCTATCACGGAAAACTCAATACTCATATCAAACATTGAATACCAAATCATCTGCGATATGTTATCACTATAGAACGGAGAAGCAGTGATGTTACTGTCAAGTAAAGGAAAGCTCTCGATCGAAAAATTGTACAGCATACTGTAAAAGAGTCTTGATTTGATGTCCAGGAGAGTATATATGATATAGGATCGAAGTGGATAATAAATATCTTGATATCTAAGAAGTACATCGTCGATATATTTGAGTCTGAAAACAATTTCTACATAGTCAATATTCATCGAAATGAAGTTGAACTATTTGTGGTCACATTGAACAAATTTTGCTAAGTGAGGCAGTCGCCAGGTACTGGCCACAGGTTGGTCGTTTTTTCAGGGCCCTCCGGTTTTTCTCCACCTCTTAGTCCTGGTACGTCCTTCAATGACAAAAGCTTTACATGGAACATAAAGCACAAATACAACCAATCAAATTGTAAAAAATCTACTTAGATACTTAATTGGTTTGTACTATTCTGCAACAACGCGAAAAGTATTGTTCAATAAACAGCATTATCTTATCTCAGAATACCAGTCAGTAAATACTCCTAGCAGGCATTATAATAAAACCTATTTGTTCAGACTGTTTATATTTCGTTGCATGTGCCATAAAAAAATCTTCAAAATCGGGTACAACTTAAATGACATAATAGTATTGTTCGTTTACCGAATGTGTAATCTATGAATGTGTATTCTTCCACAGATTTGGTAACGGCCAAAGTCGCATTTGCCTTGATAGGGAAATTTGGAATATCGATATCATATGGTATCATTTATTTGATGTCGGCCGAGGTGTTCCCTACAGTGGTCAGGTAGGAATAGTCCTTCTATATTTACTAACTAATTTAATATGCTGTTTTCCGTTTATTGATTGTTTGTACTGCATTGTCTTTGTAAAGAAAAATAAATGGGGGAATTATATTGTGACGATAAATTTTAGAGATATCTTAGTTAGTTTGAAGTATTTTAAAATGACAACATAAATATTGTAAGGGTGGTCGGGTGGTGCAGTGAATAGAGCACGTGCTTTTCAGAAAGACAGACGAGGTTCTATATCCCGATCGGACATAAAAAGGTATTGGTTCATGTGCCGGACCACGTGGGTTTCTCTTAGGTTAATTCGTTTTTTCCGTTATTTAAACCACCGCCATCGATCAGGTCCAACAGGAGATAGTAACACAGGCTGAAACACTTGATTCATAATTGCTGTAAAATGAACAAAGTTTCTACTTAAATATTTTCCATAGAAATGCCGGTATGGGCGTATCCTCCATGTGTGCTCGTATCGGGGGTATGCTGGCCCCACAAATTCTGGAGTTGCAAAACGTATGGGGTCCCTTGTCAATGTTGCTTTTCGGAAGTATGGCAGCGATTGCAGGGTGCATTGCTTTGTTTCTACCGGAAACCTCAGGGAGACAACTACCACAAACCATCGAGGAAGCGTTGAGTAACAGATCAAAGTAAGAATTCAATAGTCTGTATGAATCTTTTTTGCATTATATGGTGTTTCATATGACGAATCTTCATTGAAGTTTATGATACTCTCCTTATTAATTTTCTAATTTTTAAACGATTTGACATGAGTAAGTCTTTTAGAATTGTCTTTGAAAAGGGAATAAACCCTTATTAAAAGTATGTGCTTCACGTAGCGTATAGCAATGCTCTCGATTGCAATCTTATTAATATATGTCTATATATGTTCACTTTGTTATGAAAGAACCTTTTTGACTATAAAAATCTTAACTTAATTTTAAATGACCTAATTGAATACAATTACATCAACATTGGTAAAGATCAACCTTGTTTTTACCACAAACGTCTGTTTCCTTTGTCAAGCAAAAAGTGTAAATCATCAACACTCTTTGCTTTACAAAGGAAAGACATTATCGAAAGCCCGCAAAACAAGTTTTTAATTCCTGTTTATGTTAAACACGAACTAAGCATATGCTATTAAAACCAAACAGTTGAATCTAATTACGAATATATCAATATCATTCACTAATAAGAATTTTTTCAAAAATATTTATATACTTTATAATTTATCTTTGGTCAGCTTTAACCGTTTGATGTGACCCTGTTTTTGGCATAAAACCACGCAAAAGATGTAATCAAGTCTGTTTAGTGTAACCACTACCTGGCCGAATGTGAGCAGATTTTCTTTAATTGTTGAAGTAGGAACGGCTGGGCCGATATTGCAACTTAATTTTGTTAACTTATAGACATAGATGGGTATTTAATTGAGTCGGCATATTACCACTTGAAGTGAAATAATACACAAATGACCTTTTAGAAGTGTACTGTTTATGTGTATACCGACGCTGCTGTTGATAATATGTAAATGTTTCATATATTGTTCGTAGGTCAGTGAGAATGGAGACAGAAGAGGTCACATCAGCGTCGACTGGAGTATAGGAGGCACCCAATCCATCACCGGCAACAATGTATTTTACTAGCAGCACAAACAATATCAGCAATTTAAATAGTGCAAGAAGTTATGATTTTGATACATTGTATTTGTAATCCCACACTTAGCTTTAAGCGTATGTGCCGATAGAGAATTTCAAAATAACGCACGTTTCAGTTCGTTTTAATTTTCAAAAAGAGCAAATAAAGATATACGTACACATCATTGATAAAAAGTCCAGAATCACACAAAATAAGGTTAAATGTAAACGTATATGATGCATCACCATTAAGTTCAAAATCGGTTCTAATGATAAAGACACACCACATTAGTCTTTCTTTCTTTCAAAGAGAGGGCAGTCGTTTGGACTCAATTTTATTACTTCGTTAATGTCTGAATATTTTTTAATTGACAATTTTAATTTTTTAATTTTCGTTATTATTTCTGTTAATATAGGAGTAATCATATTTTTACATTATCAGCCTATTAAATAAGTGGTCATCTTTCGACTTCACAAAGGTGTACATATAATGTTTTCTCATTATTGCAGTAGTATGAATACTATAAGTACAAAGTTTGACATCAACGCTGCTTTGTATTTTAGTACAGAAGTGTTCGAGTCAATAAAAAATGGCATTCCTCAATCTGCAGATTGTTTTTTAAATGTCTATAACTTGGCTTCAGAATTCAAAATTTTGATTTTGCAACTCCGCACTGTATGATGGACAATCATTAGTCAGTATATGATATATCAGCTGGTACATGTAATACTCTATCAAACAATAAAAAATTAATGTCCTGCATGTGTTAGAAATGTATGGATACTGTCTATCACTCCAGACAACCATAAGATTACATCAATATTAGAAATCTGAATGCAACGGCTTGATTTATGATTTATTTTTTATTAACATCAAATTCAAATATAATGTTATATGTATGGTAGTTTGGGCTGCCACATATGGCCTAATGGAAACACATTCGTTCTAGTATTTTATTGCCTTATTATCTTATTACTATAAAGGTTTTTTTCGGGAGTATATCCAGAATCCTAGTTTGTATTGCTAATATCTGGGCCTATTGGTTGTGTAAGGGAAAGGAACATAAGGAAAGGACGTGCAAGATTTTAGGTTGAAACCCACAAAGGTTGACAGGTAAGTCGATTCTACAATGACCAATTCCGTAAGGATAACTCGGAGCCTAGACGAAGACTTTCTTTGTCTTCACGTAGGAAACAAAGATACCCCAACATTGATTTAACATACTAGGAATGTTCTTTCCCTCTATCTGGTCGATTGCTACTTTTCTCCCTGGCTTCTCTTTTGACACACGTCTCCATATAATATACTTATTGTGACAAAGAAAAAACGTAGTTAAGGGAAATTTCTCAATGCTTGCTTCCAAACCAATATAAGATAACACAACCATGCCATGTATTTAATCTATATAATCAGTTAAAGCCAAATAAACTGAAAATCGTGAACAAGAAAAATAATTTAATCCTATAAACGGGGGATAGTTTACAGTAAACTGGTGACATTTCAGAAATATCAGCGAGAGATATCCTCCAACCTCGTAATGATTATATTTCTCACTGTTTCATGAACGGATATTTGATTGCTTCTTTCCCCTGGAAATGTGTTTATAAAGCTCCAAGATCGTCTGAATGTTCTTCGACACACAAATGCTCGATATCGAAGTCGATATTGCGCCGACGCCTTGGACACCCCAGTTTCCGAGGTTCCAGTAAATGGTTCTTGAGCATTTCCCCTGCAGGTGAAGTTATTTATTGCCTCATTATGATTCCCATAGTATCGTATTGGAAAGACAGTCGAATGCATTGCTCTAAATTGATATAGCGAACGAATAACAGTGTAAAATACAGTAATTGACCTTGTAAGAGATGCTAAGCAAAAATATTTACTTAAACTTCAAAATTCCCTTATTGACAAATCTAGTCCTCCAGGTAAGTGGTGGCGGGTTGCAAAGTCTATTTTGAACATTAACAATAAATCAAACAATGATGCTCCTCTTGTAATAAATGGTGAACTTAAATCACATCCTGTGGATAAAGCAGAACCTTTTAACTCATATATTACCTCTGTCTCTACTTCTGACAAAACTGACCTTGACATTCCTCCTAATTGTCCTATCTCACAAGAAAACATATCTTCCATTATTATCACTGAACAGGATGTTCATGATCAGCTTCAACGTATTCATGTAGAAAAACCTGCTGGTCCAGATGCACTACCCCCTTATTTTATTTCATTTCAACAAATTTTATTTCATTTAGAAAAAGGATTGAACAAAAGGCACAGCCTATATTAGTTCTCTCCTAAAGGTAACAATGAGTATATAAATATAAATATATATACATATATTATATAGTATGTTGTTATTTTGAAAGAAACATGAAATAATATGTGGAAATCTATGTGTAGCTATTTTATTAAAGGTATTGCTGACTCTCTTGTGAAGCCCTTGCTGTAAATTTTTAACAAATCCATTTCTACTGGTAGCATACCTAGTATTTGGAAGTGTGCTAATGTTACCCCAATATATAAGGGCAAGGGAGGAAGAGGTGACCCCAGTAACTATAGACCAATCTCTGTCACATCATTATTTAGTAAACTTCTTGAAAAAATAGTTTTTAAACATCTCTATAATTTTCTATCTGAGAATAATGTTATCTAGAAAAATCAGTCTGGCTTCCTTCCCAAAGACTCCTTAGTTAACCAATTAATATATTTATATGATGAAGCTTCAAAACAACTTGATCAATGAAAAGAGGCAATGATAGTATTTTGTGACATCAGCAAAGCTTTTGAGAGGGTTTGGCACAGTGGATTGATTTACAAATTGAAGAAATATGGTATTTGTGACGACGTCTTGAACTGGACTAAAGGGTATTAATAGATGGTTACAAGTCAATTTTACAAACATTAAAAGCTGGTGTACCCCAAGGTTCGGTTATCGGGACTTATTTATTTTTAATATTTATTAATGACCTTGAAGATGAACTCCACTCCCATGTCAAACTCTTTGCTGATGACACTTCTCTTTACGCTTTGATAGATGGTAATGGCAGAGATGCTGCAAATATGATGATAAATGGGGAATAACATTTAATCCAAGTAAAACTGAATCATTACTAATGTCTACTAAAAATAATTCTGAGACATCTCATCCAGATTTGGTATTTTCAAATAGTGTTGTTATAAATGTCAAAAATCATATACGTCTTGGTTTGTTTTTTAAAAGTCGTGGATCATGGTCAGATCAAGCTAATTATATATATGAAAACAGCTGTACAAAACTACAAATAATGCGAATGCTTAAACACAAGCTAGATAGAAAATCTCTTGAAATAATTTATAAATCTTTTATAAGACCAACACTAGAGTCTGCTTGTGTTGTTTGGAATAATTGCACCGAGGGTGAAATGATTTACTGGAATCAGTCTAATTAGAATGTCTCAGAATTATATCAGGTTTGAGAAGAGGTACAAGTCATAACTTAATATATAAGAAAGTTGGTCTAGATAAACTAAAAATAAGGCGTGATGATTATCAATGTATGTTATTTTTCAAGATAATGCAGCATGACTGTCCTGACCATCTTTATGATCGTATTTTACCATATTTTAATAATGATCTTAATCCTCGCCTTAGACATTAAAGAAATGTTATTGTTCCCCTGTGCAGAACCAACCTGTATAAAACAGCTTTTTTCCTAGAATGATGTCTCTATGGAATAGGCCAGACTGTACTTTCCCAAAACTCGCTTCATTGAGCCAGTTAAACCTGGAATTACTTAAAGACAGCACACACATTTTGCAACCATCTAACTGTACAGATATTTTTAAATACGGTGGTTCCAGGAAGTTGAATATAGCAGTATGTCAACTTCGAAATAAAGTCAACCAGTTAAAATCAGATTTATATGATGATCATCTTACAGAAAACCATGATTGTGACTGTGGTTATATCATTGAAGATGCAAATCACTTCTTCCTCAATTGCCCCACATATATAGATGAAAGACAAGTTTTCTCTATGCATTATCTAATTATAACGAAATTAATAACATCATCTTAAATACTATTACTTTCACTAAGGGTGATATGAACCTAAGCAGTGAATTAAATAAATTTATTCTCTCATGTGTTCTGGAGTATATTGAAAAATCTGGAAAATTTTAACTTAAACTATACTAAAAATTATCTTACAATGTGTTTGTATTTGCTATTTTATAACAATAACTCTGGTGTTATTTGGAAGGATGGCACTGTGTATAGTGACAGTGACTTTGAAGTGCCTCTAACCAAACACTAGGCTATTCTAGTAATTAAAGTAAATAGACTATGGTAATTGAAATGTAAAAATCTATGATATTCTAGTTATTATTTTTGTGAACATACATTAAATGGTTCTAGTATTAATTTGAACATATACTACATCTTCTCTATAATACTGTCTCTCTCTCTATATGTATATATGAATGTATAAAATGTGTGTATTTTCTTCTGGAAAGGGCTTTAAAAGGCAATGCTTGTGCCTTATCCAATTATGTTTTAAATACAATAAAATTGATTTGAAATGAAATAAAGTATCGGCAGTCAAAAGTGTAAAACAATTATACACCTACGATTCACTTCCTTCCCCATCTTTGTGCTTCTTTAGACATGCCATTTTTTTCTGTGTTTCAAAATTGTCCCGACGACAACAACAAATACCTTACCATATTTAAATCTGTATAATCGGTTAAAACCAAATTAAGTGAAGTGCACCGGAAATGTAATGAAGAAGTGGTCATGGTCGCCTTTATTACCGTAAAGGGAAATATTTGGGTTTTTTTTTTTGTGTGTGATACGAATATCGACATTTTTATTAGGTCGTTAGTGTGCCTTGTAGTTTTGTTATAACTTCCCCCCGTTTTTCTCTATGACAACATAACTTTAATTGGATTTGACCTACCGTCCATGAAGCAGGAGACGCGTATCCTTCCGGAACGTATGGTCTTAACTTCCTTGTAGTTTTTTAACGATATATATGTATTTTTTTTTGTTTGTTCATGCATTGTTCCCGCCATATTACATAAATCTTCTGATGAAATGTTGTTCATTATTATTGATATGTAAGTGCACGAAAATTTGCCGAAATAAAATAAATTACTTCATATTTAATACCTTCTTCATCAACAACAGGATGAATTTGTTTTGATTTTTTTTTTAATTTCAACAGATTTTATTGACTTTATATATGTCAATTGAATTGGACATCAGGCTAGGCCTATTTAAGTCCTTTCCAAACTTATTTACAAACATAACATATATTCTGTCATAACAATCCAAT